TTCCATAACTTACATATTAATTTGTTTAGAAATTTTGCTCAATTACTCAAACAGATCTATATTTTAAACTAATGGAGTGATTTTTTATTAATCTAAAAATTTTTAATAAATTTGTTAAAAAATCGGGTATTTTACTATAGATTTTCATGATTGTTACACAAAATTTTATATATTCAATGTTCCTATAGGACTATACATATGTTTAATCTACATAGTACATTGGACACCCCAACGGGTCATCACCAAAATCTGACCAGTAATCTACTGTGTCACATTACTGCGCCTGGACACATGTGTTCAGTTTTTTTGAAATTATCTTGTTTTATCATGTCTACATTAAGATTGATACAACATATATAGGACAATATTATGCTGATAACAAAATCGAGCCACTGGGGCCAGCTTGATTGATATGATAAGAAAAATAAAAAATATATACAATGGATTAAACAATGATAAGAAAAAAAAACTATATACAATGGATTAAACAAATTCATAGTAAAAGGGAGAAGGTATAAGGTTCATTATTTAACTTATCAAGAACTGCATTGATCAAACATTTGGGCAATCGGTTTATATCTGTCACAATAATGGGATATGGAGACAGTTGTTTCAATAGTTCTAATTTTGATAGTTCCGACTCCAATGGTTCCGGTAGTTCTGCTATCTCTAGTGTCACATCTATTGTGCCAGAAGTAAAGCTATCTATAGAGGGACCTACTATTATTTCAATGGTCCCTTTTGGTTGCTTGGTTCGAGTGAGCACACCAATCAACTCATCTACAACCAGGTGACCTGTAAATATTTTTAATATATTAATTGAATTTTTTAATAATTTTAACCTAAACATCTGATTTAATATAATAATACCTATATTGAGTCTGACCCAATTTTTACATTGGATGATAAATCGTGTTGTGGTAATTTCATATATAATATCAATGCCACCATCACCTGATCTCCTAAATTAAAATAAAATATAAATACTTGTATTATAATTATCAACTAACCAAAGAAGTTGCACAGGTAGAATAGTCAATGACAGTGCTTTCTATGTTAGAGTATATCCTATTCATCATAAATTCCCAGTGCTTAAGCATTTTGAGAATATCAGAAACTAGAAAGAAAGAACGTTCACTGCTAAAACAGTGGTCACGATGTGCTTTCAATTTCTTACTAGATATTTACATCTATCTGACAGCATAATTTTGAATACACAACTCAACAAATAACTTAGTGAGAAACTCACCCTTTATAGATAACTTTAGCACCAATGCTCTTTAATATTTCAACAAAATCTACTTCGAATATTAATTTTTTTATATAGGATGTTTGTACAATTACTACTGCAAGAGTGACAGTTTCTCTTCAATATGAACAAATTCTTCAATATCAAAAATTATTTTTGTTTTTAAAAAAAATATTAATTAAAAGCAATGAAAAAATAAAACAGAATCACTAAAAAGTGATAAATAACAATATCTTCACTATACTGCCCTTTATAAATAGTTTTGTTCATCTCTGAATAGTGGTATAAAGAACAAGACAACAAAGAAAAAAGTCTCATATATACTTTATGCCAATCTTTACACTCGACATTATATTACGTTTGTCATAGAGTATCTCTAAACATGTGAAATATGCATTAAAGATCTTAACATCTTCGGCATTACAGCATAAAGAAAGATTGCTAAGTATTATATTTCACTTGACCACCTAGGAGAGCCTTTAGTTTTTATTAAAAAAGCTATAAAAACTAAAATATATATGTTTTGGTTAGAATGAATAAATTTTTATACTAGCTTTGGAATAGATTTAAAGCTTGGTATTATTTTTTCTATGAACGTTATAAAAAAAATTATATAAAGATTTTGTTGTACAGATAACGTATATATCATAAGAATATTACCTGAATTTGAGTTGAAAAAAATTTAAAAAATATTCTTTATAAGTTATGCATAATGCAGT